GTCCAGACCTGTGTTTGCTTTTCTGCTCCCTGTCTGGAAGGTTTTGGTGTACGGGCTGCGATTTCCTCTGGTGCACAGCCCAGCACCGAGGCCACATCCTACACCCCTTGCCCAGCTCTGGGGCCCAGAGCCAGGGGAAACAACAAGAAGCTCAGAGCATAGTTTTATGCAGAGACCACCCACAGGTATTAAACTAATTACCAAAGAGCAGTGTTGGTCCCACAGGGGCTCTGTTCTAACCAACAGCAGCGCTGCTGCTGCCAGCCCTGCATCTCCTCCAACTGGCTCCTGGATGAAAATTGTTTTAAAAGCTCCAGGAGAAGCTGTTTGGGTTCTAAGTGATGGGAATGGAAAAGAAAAACTAAAAAGGAATGGGAACACTTTTGTTCTTGGCTGCCAGGTAAATGAGGTTTAGCTTTGGAAAATGTATAGGGCCTCTAATGCTAACTGCAGGGCTGGAGTCTCCAAGGAGTGATTTCTTCCTTCAGAAACATAATAATAACAATAAATGATTAAAAAGAAGGTGGCCTAAATCTATATCTACAGTTAACTCAGGACTCCTTTGGAGTTCAGGACTGTTGCTGGATAAATAAATGCTGATTTGAAAAGGGAACCTCCAGCCTCCTGCAAACGAGAGGCAGCGAAGCGGCACATGGGGCCAGCCCACACACATGCAGCGCAGCTAGGGGGAAAACCCAACGGATCAGGTTATTCCAGATTTATCCAACGTGGCGGGGACACTCATCCTGGCTTCATGCCCACCCACGCCTGTCACCGTGCCCTCCACCTTCCACTCTGCCCCATCAAACACGACATGCTGGTTTACTGCAAGTGCAGAGGGTCAGGCTGGTGCCCACCCTGGGAGAGCTTTTCCTCTTCTGATACAGCAAAAAAGCAAGTGCCAAAGTGGAGAAAACCTCCAAAGGAAACACATGAGCTGGTGGCCAGAGAAATTACTTTTTCCCCCCCTCAATGCTGGACAGCAGCTCCCAACCACTGCGCCAGATGGGACCGCACGTCGGGGTGCCCAGCCCCACGCCAGCAGTGAGATAAGGCTCGGGGAGGTGCCATGAGCTGCAGAGGGCTGGGCAGCCACACCGCCACGCTGCCAAGCACATGGTGCCCCAGCTCCCCAGGATGTCCCAGCACCCACACAGCCTGCGGAGAGGGACAGCGTGCCCGGGACACTGAGCGGTATGTAGGCTTGTCCTGTCCCTGAGCGCGGAAATTTTCTAGTGCGTGACTGAAATAATGCCTTTCTGAGGTACTGGGGGTTTTTTGACTTGCTGGCAGGTTAGAGGGCTGCACAGGGAAGGTTTTAGTTGTTCCTCCTTCTTTTAGCATGGAGGTAAAGGGGAAACCACACACACTGGCATCCTTTCTGCAAGGTGCAGCTGTGCTGGTTTCATAGACAGAATTAATGAACTACCTTTGTTAGCAAATCCACATTTCCATCCATTACAGGGTATGTGGTGGAATCAGCTGTGTGATGCGCTGTCCAGGTCAAATCCCTTTGTCCATCATGGCTTTGCAGTGTTCACTATGCAACACTCCAGCGCACAGCCCCGACTGCCGGGACACCTCCCAGGTGCCGACCACGAGCCCTCAGGGTGCTGGCACCCAGGGCTTTCCTAGCTGCCAAAGATGAATTTCAGGTCCTCCCATACAGGGAATTATTAAAAACCAGAACCTTTCACCAGGGCTGCCCAGTACAGGGACTGCTGCATGGCCCACACTTCCCCTGTGCTTTCTGCCCCAGGAAGCACCTCTTCCCAGCAGACAGCTTGCTGCCAGCCCTGGGCACCAGCACTGGTGTCCCTCCTTTTGCCCTGGGGTTTTGGCACAGGCCACTTGGGTACAACCTGCCATCCACGGCACAGGGATCCTCGCCAAGCTGCCATTCCCATGCTGGAAGGGATGCAATCGCTGCCCTCCATCTCTCATCGCTGCCGCAGCTCTCGATTCACTGCTTGGGGAAACCTCACCGGAGAGGCGAGCTCATAGTGATTTAGCTTCGTGCTCAGTGACACATACAGAGAACCTGAAAGCAGATGCCAGCGACAAATAAAAGAACAAGAGATAGAATCAGTAACAGCCACGGATGGGTGATGCTCCTCTGGCAGCGGCAGGCAGCCGAGTGCAGGATGAGGCCATGCCTGCCCCGCAGCTGACAGCGGGCAGGGATGTGCTTTCAGCAGGCATGGAAGCCAGTCTGGGCGTTTTGCACCAGCCCCACTTTCCCAGCAGCACCTCCAGATCTCACGTCCCACTTGGGCTGCAGTTCTGCTCCCAGGCGGGGCTCGGCCACCATGGCCAGCCCCAGCCCCGCATCCCGTTTGGCTTCTGTTTCAGGATCAGGGCCTCACCCTGGTTAACCATTGACTTGTGCGGGGGGCAGTTTTGCTGTAAGATGTCCTCTCCAGACATTTGACAGATGCAGCAGCTGGCCAAGCATTTTTATGAGCTGAGGAATTTATAAGCCCTCCAGCAAACAGCGCTCTCCCATTGGATAACTCAGCAAAACTCAGTCAGATTAGCTCCATTTGAGATTAAAAATGCCACTGTAGCATCCTCCGTTCTCCTGTGGTGGGAACAGCCCTGGACACACGGTAGATGTGCACCCATGCCACACCAGCCCTTCTTCTGCACCCCTGTGTTCAGTTTTGCAGGAAACCCTGACTTTTGGAGGGCTGACTTGCTGGGTGCGGGCATAGGTGACATCTGGCAGCCACCCTCTTTGGAGCCACATCCCCACCCTGCACCAAAATGATGTCCTGTTCATGGTCAGGGACCTGCTGAGAGAGGGACGTGTGGGGCTTAAAAGCAGGAGAGAGAAAAAAAAAAAAAAAAAAAAAAAAAAAAAAGCCAACAAAGGCAGAAGTTTCTGGGGAAGAAAAAGTGAAGCTTTCCTGCAGCACTGGGAGGAAACAGGAACATTCACCTTATGCATCCTGGAAAACCTCCCTGTGAGGGCAGGGATCTGCCTGAGTTTCTTCTTGGCAGCAATAATACAGCACTGCCAAGGGGCACTTCAGTCCTGAGCAGGCTCGGGGTGGAACCTTTGTCTTACAATACCACAGAGCTCTTTAGCAATATTTGTCCGAGAACCTTTTTGTTCCTGGAATGGTTTTTAAAGCAAATAAGTTTGAGGCTTATTAGACAAATAACTATGTTTATCACTCACCACAGTTCCTTCCTTTCTCTCTCTCCTGCAAGTCACTCTGGCAGATGCCACAGCACAGTCATCTTTTTTTCCAGCACAGCCTTAACAGAAAAAAAGAAAAAAAAAAAAAATAAATCAATTTGAACAATTAAAAGATACTATAATAAAAATCTCAGGACAGCGCTACCCTCTTGCAGTGCAATCAGGGTCCAGGAATTTCATTATCCAGGGTCAGACAATAAATTTTACCTAGGATTAAGGTGAAGACAAATAGCTCAAATACATGACTTCCCTAAAGTCATAGTGTTTACCAGTTTATTTTTCCATTTCTCTTCCTCTGCAATGAAATAAATATGTGCACAGAAAAAACACAAATCTGGTGAAGGAGAACACTGCGCAATGGGCCCCAGTGAGGCCGGTGTTCCCCTCAGCGAAAGGGACCAAATGGGACCAAAAGTTTTGCAAACCCAGCAGAGTTTTGCTCCACTTGCTGTGTCCAAATCATGGCCAGGTCTGAATCCTCACCAGCTCCAGGCCATCCTCATGGCATTTTAGGGCCAGAGGGGGAACTCAGCAAGCTCCAAAAGCAAACCAATACCAATTTGGTAGACTTTATGACATGCCAAAGGGGGTTTTAAGGACTGCTCTTCTGTCCTCATCGCACCCATCACCAGATCAGGCACTGGTCTGGGGAGCCAGGCATGGAAGAGGCTATCTGCATTTAAAAAGCAAAACTTTATGATGAATGAAGCAAAACGGCAAGAGCCCAGTGTCGTCCCTCCAGATCCAGCCCCAGGCAGCATTTTTCCCCAAAAACCTTTAAACTGTCCATTTTCAGGACACTGACTCTTCCACCAGCTCAGTGAAATGGGCTTGTTCATGCCAGCTTCAACGCGAGTTTAAAAACCCATTTCAGGGATAGCATGTGGGGTGGGCCAGGACAAGATGGTGGGAGGAAGGGCTGTGAGCATCACAGACCCCCGTACCCCCTCCTGCAGGGACCGATTCCTACTCACGGCCACCTTCCTCTAAGAGGAGTAGCCACAGAGAGAAGTGAGATGCTGCTGGGAAGCAGGTGTGCTTGGCTGATACACTATCAAAACCACACTGCCGTGATACGCAAAAGCACACAAATACTTTTCAAGGCTTCCTTTAAAACGCAGATAAGCTGTGAGGCCACTCTCCCACAGAAAGCAGGAAAGCCGCTAGCTCCTTGCCAGAGCAGCTTCGGCAGCTCCCCCCTGCCACAGCCTCGTGGCAGATGTGGGTGCAGCAGAGGGGTCTGGTGGGGAGCAGTGCCGGGCTTCGGGCAGCTGAAATGTCACTGCAGGGGCACCAGCCACCCTGGCCCACCACAGACTTCCTCTGGGGTGTCAGGCCGAGCAGGAAAGCAACAGCTTTTCTCCTGCAGGGCAGATCGGTTTTCTCCTTGTTTTTTAAGGCTGCCTAAAGCCCTGTACAGTGATGCTGCAACCTACCCCGGGGGGCAGGGGCAGCATCCCACCAAGGCTCTGAGGGGGGGATGCTGGGTGCATCCCACCCAGGGGGCCAAGAGAGGATGCTGTACCACAGCCACTGTCAGTCGCAAGGTCACAGACAATTTCCCTGATCTCAAGCCCTGGGAGCGAACCCAGAGCAGGGCTGGGTAGGAAGCAAAGCTCTTCTCTCCTTCCTCATGACGCAGCAACCTGAAATCAACTTTCAGCCCAGCCCTGCTACAACCTGCTGCTCCTTATTTACCCTTCAAACAGGAAAAACAACTCTCAGCATATCTCTTACAAATTTTCTATGTCAAGCCTCACTAAAGGGCTGCTTTTAGGCTCTTTAACTCCGAGCACACATCTTTCAGGTGACGATTTGCCTTAGGACTCCAGAGTGGTTTCCAGGACAGACATTCACCAGGCTGCAGCCCCAAATTTCAAAGGTAGGAGTGGGTCCCCAACTCCCAGGAGCCCGATGTGTGGGGTGGCAACAGGAGAGAGGGCGGCAGATGGACTCGCTCGGGTAGGAAATAGATCATGCTCCAAATCACTGCCGCTCCCCATTCACGTGGGTGAAGACACTGAAGGATTTGGACAAGGGGAAACATTTCTGCTCTTAAATGAGGTGTCCCCGAACCTGGCTGCTCTGCCCAGCTCAGCAGTGCTGCCCTCCTTCCCTTCCCTTTCTGGTTTTAAGGAGGACAAACTTGCTCCTGCAGATTCCCCTGACTGGCCAAGGCCAAATCACAGCTTGTCCTCAGATGGCATTTTACAGCCCCTACTATTTGAAACCTACTTTGCATCATCCCAGAGGGAAATGCAGCAAAGCCATTATTGAAAATATACTCCTTGAGCTCATCACTATCAGCAGAATAGAAAAGAGTGATCTATTACTGAGAAAAGGACATGAAACAGGAGCACACAAGACACCAGTCACTGTGAAGAGTTCAGAGGCTTAAAAATGAAGCAAGCTCAGAGTAACCTGTTCCAACATACGAGAGCCAGGACTTCAACAGCAGGGTGGGACCAAGCACATGGGCCTGAAAGTAATTTATACAGCTTTGGTGACCTCTTAGTTATTGCAAATATGCCTAAACATAGCAATTTTTTCATTTACTACCTACCTGACTTTGGTGGGTTACCGGTATGCTTTATAGTATTTCCTTCTTTTTCCTCAGGGTGTCCTGTGACCATTGGCCACCCCCTCAGTTGTGCTCTCTCCCCCCGCCCCACACCATGCGGGTGACAGGTAAGGAAGGAAACAGAGATTTACTTTTCTCTGCCCATTTTTCTACAGTTCTTTATGCATCCTTGTCATTTACGTGACCCCTTCCCAAGCCCAGCTACCCTGACCTTCCCCTGCCAGGGGCATGGGAAAGGGCCTTTTTATAACCATCAGGTTTTTAAAAGATTTGTGTAGATTTCAGCCTGTTGTATTTTTCCCCATGAAACGCTCTGTGGCTGGGAAGAGATGGTTATTGAGATGTTCCTGGTTCCATAAGAGCCATTCAGCTGCAATAAGTATATTTTTCTACTCTCTTTCCATGCAGGACTGGAACGTTTTGCTCCAGTGAGTGCTGCTTTAAAGCCAAATGCCAATCACATTTGTATTAGCAGCTGCTCAGCTATAGCTAGTGACTAATTGGGGGATAGCAGCCTTCCCAGCACTACGAATGTAAGAAATATTTGGATTTACATAGCTTTCTGACTAATTATCAGATTTACTTTAATGCAGAAAGAAATATGAATAGTGCCTCCCAGTAGCATGGTAATGCGTATCTGAGCACCACCACATGCTCTAGAGATATTAATTAAGAGATCAGAGTCCTTTTAGAGGATGAAGGAAGGACTGTTAGCTGCCTTCCCAGACCACACAAGCACTGGTTGTCACCCTGTGCCGGGTAATCTGGGACACACGGACCAAGTCCCCAGGAAGCCAGAGGGAAGCTCCAGTCCCTGACCCATGCTGCTGCTGCTCTCCCCAGCTCCTCTCCCACCCCTCTCAGGCTTGATCCGGTACGTGGCACTGCTCATCACGCTGCTGGGCATGTGGCTCATCGTGCAGACATACTTCGATCGGAGCTGGAAAGGCATCACCCTGCGAAGCTGGCTTGGTGAGGCACCCGCGGGGCTCCAGCCGGGTCTGGAGGGAGGGTGCAGGCAGCCGCCTTGTGAGCCAGACCCCAGGGCTGCGTATAGTTGCCATGAACATTGGCACCTGCGGTCACTGGTCAAGGCCATAAGCAATGGGAAGCTGCACCAGGGCAGGTGGCCCCAGGGGTGCTTGAAGCCACAGGGAGCAGTTTTGGAGAGGCAAAGCCTGAACAACTGCTCCTGGCTTGGGGAAGAGTCAGCAGCTCTCTGGGGTGTCTAACCCTCTTGTTTGGTACCCACAGGTGCCACTGACAAGACCAGCAGTGAGTACTGTTCTCTACTTCATCACACAACACTGCTCTGGGGCCGAGGGTGATGGTGGAAGCACGATAGCTGTCCTCAAGAGCCCCTTTCCCAAGGCAAAAATCCCATTCTCCCAAATACAGGGGAATTTCGTTAATTGCACACAGCAGCAGTGTCCTTGGCAGGCTCTGTAAGTGCACAAACTTTCATGTCATCCCCCTGCCCCAGCAGAAACACCCCCAGGCTACAGCAGGAAGCAGATCACAGGCCCTGCCTGGGCATCGTGGCACCCTGGCCAAGAATGGGGAAGCTCTGGGCACAAAAGCCCCAAGAGGCTGGCCTTGCCCAAGCACCAGCTCCAAATGCTCCCCAGCACACCCCCCTCTGCAGTCCCCATGGCATCAGCTATGCCATCCTGTCCCCTTGCTCACACCCAGAGCAGCATCCAGCACCCCAGCCAGCTCATCCCACCCCACCCCAAGCCGCAGCACTGTAAACTTCAAACAAGAAGTTGGTCCCAGCCCCAGGAGAAGCCCCCCCCCCTTCATGAAAGAAGCTGGTCCAGGTGTCACCCCTTTAGGGGGTCACTGTGCGACAGTGCCCTGCTCAACCCCTCAGGGACACAGCCAGTGTCCCCCCACGAGGCCAACACCATGGCTTGCAGCTCCACTCCTCCCTCACAGGTGAGAAGCTGACCCAGTACAAGTGCAGGAACCAGAAGAGCTGCCCCCAGAACCATTTTGCCTTCAAGATCATCAGTGGCGCTGCAAACGTGGTGGGACCCTCCATCTGCTTCAACAACATGGTGTAAGCAGCACACAGTGGGGATGGGGCAGCTGTAGCTGACCAGGGCTTGAATAGAAAGAGTTTAGCCTCTGCCAAGAACATCAATGGCCAACACAGTGCATTTGTGGTTAAAAAGAATTTGCTACTGCTTCTGCGGATATTTTGCTGTCTGCAGCCACTTTGCCCAATCACAGTTCTACTAGCACCAGCATCTCCAAGTCATCCCTGCACTTACTGGTTCTCTCTGCTCTCCTTTTCAGCCTCATGAGTAGCGTGAAAAACAATGTTGGCAGAGGCTTGAACATCGCACTGGTGAATGGTGAGTCAGGCAGGCACTAACCCCCCCTGTCCCCACAGCCAGGGTCCCTTCATCGCCCGGGGAGGAACAGACCACCAGGGACCCTATCCCAGGCACCACAGCTGAGCCAAAAGCACATCAGTTCAGTGCTATGTGGAGCAGCCAGCCAGTTACGGTTGCAAGTACTGCCCGGGAGGTGGGAACAAACCCACCTGGGTCATGCACAATAGCTCCATGAACTCCACCAAGCAACACATTTACCATCGCAGCAAATATGACACACCAAGGGAAGAGCAAAGCATTTTACATCAGGAAGCCCAAGGTGATGGCCTGGAAAAACCTGGATCCACCCCAGCACAAACTTACTGTGCTCTGTTTTGAATTTTAATCTTTCAGGAACAAGTGGGCAGCTGCTGAAAGCTGACACATTCGACATGTACTCTGGAGGTAAGTGTGGTCACTTTGCTGCTTAGCGGCTCCTAGCCAGGGCTCACACCAGTGCTGATGGCTATTTAAGCTTAACAGTGAATTCTAGTGGATTTCGACCAGGATTGCCAGCTCAGGTGGTAAAAGCTCAGCTTTCCCCAAGACCAATGAGTCTGGAGTCCTTCTAATGCATCTAACACCTGAGGTTGGCTTCTCGTTCCGTTTACATGCACACAATAGCCTGAAAAACATAATTCCACTAAACTGAATAAACCAGGGTACTTGAGGCCTGAGAGAGGTGGCTTTGAGATCAGGTAGTTACACTAATCCTGAGATTTTGCAACTTTCAGCCCCATTTTTGAATGCTGGTGGTGGCTGAGCAGCAGCTTGATTCCCTGCCTTTCATGGGAGGATAAAGGGTCAGGGCATGGCAGGCAAGATGTGGCCCCCAGTCCCAGTGAGGCTGGGCACATGGAGCAGAGACTGGTGGCAGCAAAGATCACCTCCCTGCACCTGCCAGCTTCAAACAATCTTCCTAACAGCAAGAAGATGCTCTGATCCAGGGCAGCACCCGCTCACAGCCTGGCTGGCACTGACCTACAGGATGCTGTAAATCCCACTGTTGTTGAAAAGCTGTTACCAAACCTCTCCAGAGTTTTGGCAGGACTCCTCAAAATCATATGCCAAAACCACTCCTATAGTGCTTTTGATTTACCCTTTGATGTTTGAGTCTTCCCCAGGTATCAATCACCCTTTCTACTTTTTGGGTTTGCAACCTTTTCTTGGTAACTCTGGACCTTTAAGGAGAAACACCAATATCATGAGATTTCTGTCTGAGTTTGTGAGCAAGATGCTTGGCGGGAGAGACACTGGGAAGAAGGCAGTCAGCTCCTGTGCCACTAGATGGGGCGTTGGATTCGAGCATCCCACAGATGCAGGATGAGGAATAATTCCCACAATACAGCTGACAGCGTGATTGCAGGGCAGGCAGCTCTGTGGCTGAGCAGGTCCATCTCTTATGTTGGGAAGTAAATTCATGTAAATTTCATAGTTAGTGAGCAAAGTTTAGGAGCAAATTCCTCCCTGCAGTTGTATCAGCAGGAGGAAAGCACCAGCCCCGGGTGCTGCAGAAGAGTGGGAACACAAAATGGGTAATGCAGCATCTGGGAGCCCGTCCTTCCCCGAGCCCATGACCCCCAAACTCTGGCTAGGCACTAGGACAGTCAGGATATTTCCCACTGACCCAGAGGATGTTCTGACAACTGCCACGCAGCAGTCCCTGTTAAATCCCTTTTTCTTTCCCTAATGCTCTTCTCTCCCAGATATTAACAAACTGGATACCTTCCTCCAAGAGATCAAGCACGGCACCATAGTGCTGACAGCCAGCTACGATGATGCTGCCACAAAGTGAGTTTGGCCCTGGGAGCAACACCTGGCTCCCCAAAATTCCACAGCTGGGGGCAGATGGAGGTCCTGCAGCCAGCAGCAGAGAGGGGACACCCACCTGGCACCACACTAACACCTTTTAACCTCTTTCAGGATGAATGACAAAGTACGGGCACATTTCATGGAGCTGGGCAGCAGCCACGTGAGCAAGCTGGGCTTCCGCGACAACTGGATCTTCTTGGGAGCAAAAGGGCTGAAGAACAAGAGCCCCTTTGAAGAGGTACTGGCCCTCCCTTGCCACCAGCTCTGGAGGCTCCCATCCTCTTTGTAGCACCTCCCAAGCTACACCTTGCTTACCTGTCTGCATAAGATCTGGACCAGTGGTCTTATCCCCCCACGTTGAGCCAAGCTGCAATTTTGCCATGTTGCAAATTTGCACCGTGACACCAATCTCATCATTCATTTTCTCTCCCCCTTTTTTTTTTTTTCTCTCTCTGCAGCACATCAAAAATGATAAGACGACAAATAAATACGATGGCTGGCCTGAGATGCTGGAGATGGAGGGCTGTGCCCCCAGGAAGATGGATTAACATCAAGCCCCAGCCTGCCATGGAGGCAAGACCAGTCTTGCAGGAACACCAGCCCCATTACACTGACCCCAGCCCCCCCACTGCCCTGTTACCCAGCCCAGCAGTGGCTGCCCGCTCCCAGGCACCAGCTGTTTCACAGCAGAGACCGCACAGGGCTTGGAGAAGAGCTGTGCAAGTGCCTGCAGAGCCTGAGCAAACACCCCGCCAGGCTTCAGCCGAGCTGTCCTCATCTATGGCTCAATCTGGGGTATTTTATTTTTCTGTCTTTAAACCAAAAACATTGTAGAAGATTTTTCAGATTTCTTACATAAAATATCTAATTATAAAACACAACCTTCTCACTTCCATTTTCAAGCATAATCCATGCTTTTCCCTACGGGCACAGCATGCCTTGTCCTCTGCCAACAGCCAGGCATCACCATCACCCATCCCATAGAATTACACAGGGGTGCTCCCCCTCCACACATGGCACAGGGAAAAGACCTCCATGGGGATGCTCAGGCCTTGGTGGTTTCCCCCTGGATCTCCTGCCAACCTTCCCACTGTATCCTACAGCCACAGTAAGGACAAAAGGCCACAGGGGTAGCTTGCTGCAGTGTAGGTTAGTATTTGCAGACCAAAGCATTCTCCCACCCCTTTGCCTCTTTCCTGGGTTAAATCCAAGCGAAAGCCTCTGTGGCACATCCCCAAAGGCCAGGGTAATGCCAGGGATGTACCAACCCAACTTGGCCTTCAAGGAGGGAGGGCTGGATGTGCAAGTTCCTCAGGCAGCTGAAGTTGTGCAGCATAACCAATAGGTGGGAGCCTTTTACCGGGAGTGCTGGAGCCAGAGTCAGTCTGGAGAGATACAACACACATGGGCTGGCACCCGGCTGCGGGCACCCGCACATCCACTTTGCTCCCAGAGCTGCATCCCAACCCAGGGCCAGCCAACACCACCAGGAGAGAAGAGATCCCTGCCCAAAGGGATCCTGTCCTCCTTCCAGGGCAGTTCCCATGCTGCTGACCAACATGAAGGAGGTCCTGGGGGAGCATCTGCCCCGGACTCGTGTCCGGATGCATTCACCCAAGCACCATCTGTACCTAAAACCTCCTGAGCTCAAGCACTGCTGAGATCAGATAAACTGCGTGGGTGATGGCCCAGACTTATCCATCATCATGGACAGGGACAAATTTGCATCACATACAGACTTTAATTTCCTGTGAATGTATTTGGGTTTTCCCCACTCTTTAAAGCAGACCAGCAGTTTTGCACAACATGAGGCTGAAGCATTTCTGCTGGAGCACTTGGAGGTGTGCAGGGTAACAGGCTATCCTGCACAGCCTTTTCTGACTCAAACAGCAAGGTTTGCTCCAGCACAGCTTCTAACAGGCAATGCACATCAGTTATCTGAGCCCTCAAGTGACCCCAGGGGAGCAGAAATGAAGCACATTGACAGGATAAGGCCAAGGCCAAGAAGAGACACAGCCTCTCTTGCACAGCTGCCCTAAGGATGAAACCCTGGATCTAAAACCCAGCACCACCATCTAAAACCAACAAGGCAACCGGTTTTCCCTAAACAATGAAAATTCCTTAAGTAAACTGTGTAACACCTATAAGAACTTCCAAAGGCATAAATTAAAAAAAAAAAAAAAAAAAAAAATAGCCATCACAGAGGAATCCCCCAATAGCTGTAATAATTTATCCCAGCTTATCCTCCTGTTCTCTTAACATGCACCTGATCACACCAAGGGAAGCCTCTGCCATAAATCGATCCCTAAATCTGCTGCAACAGCACCGGTTAATCCCAAACGCTGAATCATCCCTACCCATGGCAGCAGCGAGAAATAACACAACGCAACAGACACAACAGCCCTCACATCATACAGCCCTGCCGCACTGCCAGCATAAATATGCCAACTATTTTAAGCCCCCTCAAAGGATCTAGATTCGCTCATAAGCCAAACTGAAAACAGCCTAAGAGCTGTAGAGGCGGCTGCATGGGGTAAACCAGCACACAGCATCAGCCACAGCCCAGAAAACAACCAGCCCCTTTCAGTCACAGGAAACTCTTCCTAGACCTTAGAAATGCACATTAGAAATCTGGTTTAAAGCCAAAATAAAGGAAATTTATGTTTCAGCATACTACAGACAAAACTAGCTCTGAATCCATCACAGAGCTGTTACTAAGGTACATCACTATTTCCAATAAATAGGGAGAACTAAAAGTGCAACTCCTGTGCAGGAATCTTAATCAGCAGCCAGTGTTTTGAAGGGCCATTCCTTCCAAAGTCACTGTGTCACGATAAATAAATTGGAGCTTTTCAGAAGTCCAGAATTTGACAGGCAGGGGTATAAATATGTCTGCAGGAGTCAAATTTAACTTGTTAATTTTTTAAAAAGATCTGAAAATGGTGGTGGCTACAGGGACAGCAATCCCCCAATAAGGTTTTTTAGTGCCTTGGCATTTTGAAAGCTGTATTACTGCAGAAACAGGCACATACCTGGCTGGTTTTCCCTGTGCCGCATCCCCCAGACACTTCAGCAAACACGAGCCCGGATCTGCCCAGCCTCCCAGGACACAACTCCAGGTAACCTGGCCTCACCTGGGGGCCACGGTGGGCTGCAGTAGCAGACAGGCAGCCTTGGGCATTTGCAGAAATAAAGTTTGCAAAATCCAGTGCTGCAACAGGAGCCAAGAGCCAGGATGCAGATGGGTAGCAGAGAAATAAGCCTCCTTTATTTTTAGGGTACAGATTTATGTCAGCAAAGCACTAAAGGAGCAGCTAGGAAGGATGTCACAGGCAAGGACTGACGGGTGCTGGGGCCCCGCAGCTGGGCAAATCTGCGTCCTGTGACATCTTGCCCTGTCAAGTGCAATTACTGTAATCTTCCACAGCCTCTCAAAATACGGATCCCAGCTTAGAAACCGGGCATCCACAGCATGAAAGCTGCCTTTGTGCGCGGGCAGAGCCTGGGCGCAAGCCAGCCGTTAGGTGCATGAAGAAAATGAGTTCTCCACGTGCTGGGAGAAGAGAGGAAAAACAAGCTTTCCCGCCCGACCCCACAGCAGACGGGCTGGATTTCACCCACATCTCCCCGCAGCAGCCACCAAGGGGCCAGGAGCTGCACTGCCGCACATCCCCCCGGGAGTAAGAGGGCCGGTGCCCACGGAGAGCCGGCCGGTCCCACGCCCCGGGTGAGCAGAGCACAGCCGACACGTCGGACCATGGGGGCAGCTCACGGGAAAAAGGTAACGGGGCAGTTTTATTCAGGGCTGCTGAAGCGCTGGCGGGATGATGGAGAAGGCACCATCTGCTCATATAGTGCTTGTTTTGCCCCACGCATGCTAAGGCAGCTGATGGCATCAAGGGATTAGAGGGAAGGGACCCTCTCCTGGCTGCAGGTGTCATTCGTCAGGGCCAGATTAAATAATTCCACCTGATGGGCTCAGCATAGCACCTGCCACAGCTTTCAGGACAGCAAGGAGGGTATCAGAGCATTGCATTAGGACAGGCAAAGTTTGGCTTTCTGGGGAGAAACATCAGGCTTGCTCTGAGCACATCCAGTAGCCTGCAGGCTCTCCGACAGATACAGTGCAGAGCAAGCCCTGGTATTTCTTGGCCTGTGAATTACTGCCAGGTCCCTCTCAGGACATGGAGGAGCTGGGCCAGGTCCCACAGCATCCACACACATCTCCCTCTTCTCCAAATCCCCTGGGGAGGGTGGTCAAACAGCTCCAAAAGGAAATGGGACTTTACAGAGTCAGAGCCATGCAGAGGCAGCTAGAGGTGGTTGTGCTGAGGATGCTGTTAGATGTCATTTTGCTTTCAGGTCTGACAACATCAGTGGCTAGGGACACATCATCACTACTCAGTTGTGATGCCCTGATCTGGTATTAAACTTCTGTAGCTTGTCTCCCAGCTCTAAGAGAAATGCACTCATGTACCAGACTAGGTCAGTAACTTCTATTGCAATGGGGACAGCAGTGACCCTTTGCCCCAGGAGGGACCCTGCATGCTCAGGTGAGCATGATCTGTGGCCTTCAGAGGTATGGGCACATCCAGACCAGGTGCCTTTCAGAAGTTTACAAACCTGCTGGGCTTTCTTCAAAAAACAGAGCTAGACACTGTTGCAGGGGAAACGGGTATAAAAGCAACCCACTGACTAGTGTTACCAATGCCCAGAAGAAAAAATCAGGGCTGATGGGGGTCTAGTAAGCATTTATCTATTTTCCTGGACCTCAGAGAAGTGCCAGGTCCCCTGCTTCTCCAACACCCATCTGAGGTGCTGATGCCACAGTGGCTCCAGCACACAGGGGAGCCACGGTCATTCCCAGGGCTCAGGGATATGACAGCACACTCTGGAGGAGCCATGCTCTGCCCCCAGCTAATCCCCCAACCTTTCCTCACCCAGAAGTGACCTTCAGGCCTTGGCACATTTGTACAGGCATTACTGAAAGCAGGGAAATAAGCTAGTTAGGTCAGGCTTGGCTCAGCGCCACCCACTTCAGCCCCGCTGCATTCAAAGCCATCTATGCCAGCCTCCTGACTCCCAGACCAGACGGCTTTTGGACAGTTTTCCCCATTGCTCCCTCTTCCGAAACACCACGATCCCACTGCAGCCTGGCACTGAATGGCCTGGCTTTGAAATGCTCCCAGGAGCGCAGGCTCTCCTGTCACGCCAGCTTGCTGGCAGCCCCAAAAAACTCTGAGACAGTTTCATGGACACCAAAAGGTCAGAGATTCCACTCCTGCTTCAGCCTCCCAAACATTGCCCAGGTTGACAAAAGCCTGTGCCACCGCACGGCTGGCACCAAGCAGGGACGTCTGTGGCAGCTCTTGGGTTGGTGCTTTAGCCTTGGGCTGAAGCTGATGCAATACAAACAAGACAGCTCCTTCTACTGCATTTCCAGAGTGGCATGAACAGTGGGCTCCAGCCCTCCCTGAGGACCAGGCTGGGTCCAGGTGACAGGCAGGAAAGTTCTCCTTCCCCCACAGCTCAGGTCTGCCAGGAACAGCCCCATGGGCCAGCCACAGCCGAGAGGACCCACATGGAGCAGGAGGAAGGAAGGCTCAGCACACCTCGCCAGTGCTGCCTGCATTAGCAGTCTCAGCTGCACCCCTTTTAAATTTAGACCAGAGCAGCACTCCAAGGGGATTACAGTAGTGGATTGTGGAGTGCAAGGCGCTCCCCAGCTCCACAACAAAAGGGACCGGAAAGGCTGCCAGCAGGGCTCCAAGGACATTTCTACTTTCAAAGGCTACAGCTGCTCCCAAAAAACCTGTTCTAGTATCACCACA